TAAGAGAAATTTTTTAAAACCGCTTCCCAGTTTTGACAAGATGGTCACACAGAGCAGCCTTAAATTTTAAATTATCATCTTTATTTACAATGTCACTTGGAAGTCTATCCCAGTGGTTGACTGACCACAGAAAAAAGCTGTATGCTTATTGATTGCAATTTGAATTGCTTAGTCTTATGAAGGTTTTGGAGTAACCACTCCTTGAATTATGAGGTAAAGCAGTGAAATACAAATCTTTGTCAATATCAACAGTTTGATAAACAATCTGATGAAACACTGATAATCGAGAGAGAATTCAACTTCCTTTGAGAGATGGCCACTCCAATTTATGTAACATATCAGTTACTACTCCTGGTTCCTTGGAATAATTATTGAAACAAAGCCTAGCTGCTGATTTTATGCTGGATCATATCAAGACAATGTACAGTATGTCTTTTTGTAAATATGGATACCAAGCAGAATTTGCATATTCAATCTTAGGCCTTACTAAACTATGATAAAGCTTGGATTTACAGTCTATAGAGACATTTCTAAAGTTCCTCCTAATGATACCAGAGTTTGTTTGGCACTTGATGTTATAATTATGCACAATATGCTCTGACCATTTAAGGTCTTCACAAAGTATCACACCTAAGTAGGAATGGTGATGGACTTGAGTTAGAACATGATTATTAAGAACATATGTTGTATCTGAATTAGATTTTTTAGTGGAGAAGCAGATGGTTAGGCATTTATCAACATTGAATGATATTTGCCAATCTTTCTCCCATTTATTTAACGTATCTAAATCTTTCTGTATGTTTTGGCAGTCAACTGGACTATTTATACTACGATATAGGAAACAGTCATCTACAAACATATCTCATTGTTGATGAAATACATAAGGGCAAGTCAGGAACAGTAATGGCCCCAAAACCATGCCTTGAGGGACTCCTGATGTGACAAAACACTAATTTGATAAACACCCTTCAAGGCAACCCTCTCTGTTCTCTTAGTAAGAAACACTTGGATCCAGGGAAAGAAGCTGCCCTGAATTCCATAGTGACCTAACTTATAGAGCAGC